AAAAAAAAAAAAAAAAACCTCTTCACATTTAGATAGCTATTCAGGTCAATAAAAATCCTAGTTAAATAAACCAATTAAGCCCAGGAAAGTGTGTTTTGCAGGGGAAGGATCCATTTGTCACAGGTTTGCTGGGGGAGGGCGAGTCGAATGTAAGACACCCATGGGGAGGTTACTGCCACCTGACCACACAGGAGGCTCCTGAGAGCAAAGGTTTGGCAGGTTGGCTGGCGTTCCGTGGAGAGATGTAGGCACACCCCAAATGGCTGTAGGGGGGTCTGGAAGGACAGCTTGGACCTCACTCCTTCCTTCCAGCAGCCCCGCACTTACACTCCTGGAAGCCACTGCCTGCAGGGACAGGTCCCCCATCAGATCCAGCCAGACGTGTCTCTTCTACTTCTCACTGGGCTCCTTGCCTGCAGGCCCCGGGAGCCCTGCTCCGTGTCCACTCACCCACCTCCACAGGCAGGTGTGCCGGGATGAGGGATCCCGGTAAACACCAAAGCGGCCTGAAGCACTTAGAATCAAGCCTACCCAGCCAGTGTGGTCTAAGAACCGCACTTCCTTCATAAAACTGCTGCACTTCGAAATGCTCTGAATTCTGAAGAACCGCTTGGCCAAGTAAACTCTCGGAGCCCCAGTCCCAGCTGAGGACCACGGACGGTTCTGGGGAAGTTACACCTGACCCGCTGGCAGCTCTGCTGTAAGTAAGGGTACATGTGCTCCGCAGAGAGACAGAGACACAAAGCGAGAACTCATCCCCCAGGGGGGATGGCCACACTGCAATCCCTTCTCCTCCATTCTCCTCTTGGGATTTTGGGCACGCATTAGCACACATGTCCAGTGCTAGTTTCAAGTCCGGGACTGGAACTGCGGTCATCTGCATGGGAGTCCAGCGATGTAACCATTACACCACGTGCTGGTCCCCAGATCCTGCTTTAAAAAAAAAAGTTTTAGTAATTCCTGGTCCCCCGCCCAGCCGTTTGGTAAGTACATGCTTTAACATATATTTAGACACCTAGTGCCTACAAAAAGTTTGTGGAAGTAGAATTAAAGCACAAGTTTATTTTGGTCTGACAGAAATTTTAAAATCCGTGCATTTTTCTTTCATGACTCACCTTCCATGAATCTTTTGAATACCCCTCATACATGTCCAAGAATGTACTTAAAACTGGTCTCTGAGGCCCTCGCGACTTTGCGTGGGCTGTTCTACAAAGCTATCTTCAACCTCAAGAATGTATAAAACTAATCACATGCAACAGGAAATCTTCTGTAAACAAGACATTTTTAAACAGATACCCCATATAAAACTTAACTTTCAAAGAGGCTCGAATAAATAAATGAGAACTCCAACTAGCTTACTCCAAATACTTCGATAACTCAGTTTTTCCCTTACTAAAAATATTTGTATCACAAAGCACTAACAAGCAGACAAGGCCAACTACACTTTTTCTAAACCTCCTGTTTCCGCAATAACTGCCCTAATTTCTGTGGTTCTCCGGAAATCTGAACGTCTAACCAAACTCATACTGCAACACTGCGATGGCCCCGTTCGTAAATCCCTTAGTGGAGATCAAGGGTCTTCCCTCCTTAAGCCGTGAACCACATTAAACCTAGGAACCACAGCAGCTGCCCACAGGAACCTCGCTTACACTTGGCCAGTGCCAAAACACTTCCACCCTAAAACCGAAGTGCCTTCATTATTTCCACAAAATGCCTGAACACAATTCGAAGACAGAGAGTACCAGTGGAGACTGTGGAGGCCTCCTTCCATAAACTGTGTGCCATGACATCCTGAATACAAGGCTTGTCACCAACTGTGTCCTTTCAGACCTGACTTCGGGGATCAGCAGGTGATGCTGGACTCCTACACAGCTGGCCTCAGTTCGAGTCCTAGACCAGGCAGCTTAGAACTCACCGGGACATGTGCATGTGCATGCCAAAATTCCAAGAAGAGAATGGAGAAGGGATTGCAGCATGGCCAACCCCCTAGGGGGGTGACTTCTGGCTTTCTGTCTGTGGAGAGCACGCCTGCCCTATAACAAAAAAAATCTCTAAAAATTTTTAAAAATTTTTAAATCTGACTTTGGGAACAGGGAGAACTGTTCTGCATTTTGTGTTTGCAATATACAGCTATGACTCAGAACGGAGGGCACTGCCACACTGATTTACATATGCCACATGAAAGGACTAAAACATCTGCAAATAGGGCTGGAAGAAGTGTCCTGTCATTGACAGGGATTCTGTGCGTCCTCTGAGGTGAAAACCGAGAGAGTGGTGGTGGGAAAAAAGTAGATTTATGCCTTGTCTTTGCTTCTGGAAACACACCTTAATCTATCGTAGTCACGGAAATTCTAATTTTTATGAAGCTCACATACTTCTCAGCAGTGAGCAAATGGCTGGGTCAGGTGTTACACGTAAAATGGAACTGTAGTGTAATCAAGGATTAAAGCTCTGGGGCAGGTGGTCTGGTGGTTAAAGACGCTGGACTCCCAGGTGGGGGGCCAGGGTTCCAGTCTCAGACCTGGCGGCTTGCTTTCTCACTCTCTCTCTCAGTCGCTCTCTGTGTTTTCTCTGGTCAAATTAAAACGAATAATGATAATAAAGTTAGATAAAATAAGTCTTTAAACAAAGAATTAAAGCTCTAACATTGGTTGTGGTGCTTCTTTAACCTCAAATGTTTTAAAGGAACCATCTGTGGTCGCCAGGACCGTGTGAGGCTGCCGGCCCTTTCCACGCCTGCCCATGTCTGCTGACATCTCCGCCTGCTCTAGGCGAGCCTCGGGTCCGCTCTCCACGGAGCTGGGGCACTCGGGGCACCCACACCCCCGGGTCTGCAGGGGGCCCGCGGAGGCAGGGCCGAGGGGCCGGGGAGGAGCCGCTGCGGTGGGAGCCCCGCGCGGCGCTGCCTCACTTACTGGTCTGCTAGGGTACACGTTAGACAGGTGCGTTTTTAGTGTCCCCACGGTCCAGTTCAAGAAGCAGCTAACAGTCTGGTCGCTGTACTTCTGATTCGGAGCTTTAATGATGAGCGTCACGGGCATGTCCACCCCACTCCGCTCCATGGTGCGCCCGACGTCGAACGGAGGCCCCAGCAGCGGCGCGGCCCGCAGGGGCCCGGGTGGGGGCCCGGCGCGGGGCCAGAAGCGAGTTCTCAGCACTCCGGGTCCGAGTCCGCCTGCAGGGCATCGGGCCAGACCACGGCCATCGCCGGGACCGAGCGGACCGGGCCGCGGCGGCGGAGCAGCTCTGCAAGGCCGGCTGCGCGGGCTCC